GCCGTGGAAGTCGCGAGAGCACTGGTGGAATGAGCCCTGATAGGGCCAGGTAATGGTTGCTTTGCGAGTAGGTAGCAGAGTCGAATCAGACCTACGATCCACTTAGATAAGCGTTGGGATGTAATGCGACTGCCAAGCCGTGTCAAAGCGTACGAGACAAAAAGGTGTGGGTCTCGTCTAGTCGATCGTGTCCTCTGGAGATAGAACAAGAGAGCCCTCTTGACATCCAGGTTATGAAGCAGTCGGTCCTCTGCCGACGTGGGGTTCGGAAAAAAATCAGGCAGGAAGACCTCCGCCTGCAGGTGAAACTCCAAAACCACCTTGGGTAAGAAAGAGATGTCTGGTACTATCTGGGAGGACAGACAGGTAAGGCGAGTTGTGCCGAAAGGCTAACAGTTCTCCCACTCACCTGGCTGATGTAATGGCAGTTAAAAAGGCTGTCTTCCACGCCAGAAGTCTTAACTCACATGTAGTGAGTGGCTCAAAAGGCTTCCTTGTCAGTTGGCGTAAAACCAAAGGGAGGTCCCACGGAGCGACTGGGGATTTAACAGGAGGATAAAGACGAAGTAAACCTTTCAGAAAACGTTTGGAGATTGGATGTGTAAACAAAGTGCATCCATCCACCTGAACATGAAATGCCGACAAAGCGGCTAAATAAACACGTAACGAGGAGTGGGAAAGTCCCGAGTCAGCTAGGGATAAAATGAAGGTAAAAACTTTCTCAAGGTCAGCTGAGGTGGCTTGAGAGGTGTCAGTCCCGAGAAAGGAACAAAACTTTCTCCATTTACAGTTGTAAGACTTCCAAGTAGACAGTTTTCTCGAATTTATCAAGACATTGGCTATACGAGTGGAGAAGGTTGTGACGGTATTCGCCACGCTGTCAGTTTTAATCGCGCTACATTGTGGTGGAGGATGGGCGAGTCGGAGAGATGGAGCAGGTCCGGGGCTGGAGGGAAATGATGGCATATCCCCCGAGACAGTTCGAGGAGCATTGAGAACCAAGGATGTCTTGGCCACCATGGTGTTATAAGGATAACATCTGCGTTCTCCTTGAGAATCTTGCGGACCACTCTCAGGAGTAGAGGTGGTGGTGGGGAAACATGTAAAGTTATTTTGCGGACCAAGGATAAAGGAGACCGTCCCCCAGAGATTGCGGGTTGTTGCCGCCACGACTGCAGAATAGATGACATTTTTTGTTTGGATGGTAAAGTCCACCACCGCACGGATTCCTGGACGTGGGGAGGAGGAGATACTACAACTGTGTGAGCGTTCCTTGACAGGTCGTAATTGCGAAGGAACCATAGTTGCAGCCGTCGCATTTTGAGCCGCAAAAAGACTAGGACCGCCGTCGTCGCAGCCATGAGACCGAGCAGTCTCTGAATCTGGAAGGCCGTGGTTGAAGGTTGTGTACAAAACAGGGTGGCTAAGGAGATGATGTCTGTGGCCCTGTCTGGAGGCAGGTAAGCCATACAAGCATTTGAGTCCAGTATGACCCCGATATATTGAATCCGCTGGACGGGACAAAGATGAGACTTTTGATGATTGACCTTCAGGCCCAGGTTTTTCAGTAGGGACAGAGTCTCTGTGACATTCGAGATCAGTCACAGAAGAAGCCAGTCGTCTATGTAAGGGTAGATGGAAACCCCTCTGAGCCGTAGGAAGGCTGCCACCACGATCATTGTCTTCGTGAACACCCTTGGGGCACTGGAAAGGCCGAATGGAAGGGCCGTATATTGGAAGTGTTGTTGGCCAATCGTGAAACGGAGGTATTGGCGGTGGAAGGGGGGGATGGTGAGGTGGAAATATGCGTCCTGGAGGTCTAGGGTGGCCATCCAGACGTGTTTGTGAAGTAGCGGCAGGATCTGTTGAAGAGACACCATTCGGAAACGGTGATAGGTCACAAAACGATTCAGTTCCCCGAGATCTAGAATGGGTCGAACGCCTCCGTCTCGTTTCGGGACTGTGAAATACCGGGAATAAAAACCCTTCCCTTGGAGGCGTGGTGGTACGTGCTCGATGGCTCCCTTTTGCAGAAAGAGGGACACCTCCTGGAGGAGAGGTGGGGAAGGTGGCGTGTTGGGGTTCTGATGGAACTGAATTTTGTAACCTCGGGTCAAGATGGAGAGGACCCACTCGTCCGATGTAATGAGACGCCAGGTCTGGATAAAGGGAAAAAGATGGGTATGTGCTGACTCGGGAACAGGGACGTCAAAAACCCTGCTTAGAAGGTTTAGGCTGTTTGCCACGAGAGGTCTGTTGTGTGGAACCAAACTTAGGCTTTTGATAAGTTGACTTCTGGCTTCCTGAGTACGATCGTGGTCTCCCCCTCGCATCCGGAGACTGGTGAGTTGGTGTACGTCTCTGCTAGGGTCTGGACCAGGTGCGGGGCCAGTGTTGTTGCCTGGTAGAAGATGATACCCCGAGTGCTCAAGAGGCTTTAATACTCTTGTCCAGCTCCTGCAGAGTAGAATCTGTTGTTGAACTGAAAAGCCCTAGACCGTCAAAGGGCATGTCCTCAACATGTGATCTGGTGTCTAATGGGAGTGAGGTGTTTCGTAGCCAGGAGTGTCTTCTGAGCGCTACTGCTGAGGCCATGGTTCTAGAGGATGCTTCCAGAACATGCTTGGTTGTAGTGAGCTGTTGTTTCACGACTAACTATGCCTTCCTTTTGCAACATTTTGGCCGCATGTTGTTTGTCTTCTGGTAGGTACGTGAAGAGTTCCGAGAACTGCTCCCAGAGCATATATTGGTAGCGGCTCATGCAGGCAAGATAGTTGGACTCCTTAATGGCCAGCGCTCCCGTGGAATAAAAGCGGCGGCCAACAGCATCTAATTTCCTGCCTTCCTTGTCTGAAGGCGTGGAGTGTGTTCTCTTGGATTTAGAAGATGATGTGACGACCATTGAGTTTGGCTGAGGATGAGAAAATAGAAATCCAGCTTCAGGGTCTTGAATCCTGTACATGTGGTCTAATTTTCGCGTTGATGGTTTTTGCCATGGTGATTTTGCTGCCCGTAGTAGGACCGAAGACATAGGTAGCGCAACTACGGAAGATGTGTCGAGTTGTACCACATCGTATAGAGAGTCGGTGGATTGCGGAGGCTTCTGAACAATTGAAAGGCCTAAAGAGTTGGCCATTCTTTTCACCAAATCAGTGTAAGAGGTGAGATTATCTGAGGGAGAAATTGGCAAATCCTGTGATACATCAGGGTTTGGAGATGTATGATCAGGAGAAGTGGGAGCTTCAGAAGCATCGGAATCAGAGTCATCTTCAGAAACATCTGAAGAGTCTTGTTGTTCCATGTCTTGTTGGTGGACTATAAGTTTAGGCGGGACTGCAGGTACAGCGGGTCTTGGCTGGATCGCAGGTACCTTAGGCCTTGGCTCCAATGTGAGTCGAGGAGGCTGTGGTTCTACCAGATGCTGAGTCTGTTCCACCACAGGAGCACGTGGCTGAAGGCCTTGATTTAATAGGAGATCTGGATCTATGACCAGAGTGGTAGGAGTAACGATCCCACTCAGAATAGCCAGCAGGAGTTAACCACGGCATGGGGGGATGGTAGGGCCCATACAAGTAGCGCATCTGTCTCTCATCCCAAGACATCGGTGGAGGGGGGCCCCTGTAAGCTCTAGGAGAGCGGCTCCTGGTTCTTGGACGTCTTGGAGACGAAACTATGGTGCGTCTATGGGAATCATCTCTGTAGCCGGTGGTGTCGATATCAATCGGTTGAGCGTATGGAGATGGAGGGTGAAGCTCTGTGTTAGAGAAGGCAAATCGATGTCGATGCTGCTCGATATCGGGAGCTTCTGACAGTATCGACGCCGATGAATTCGAAGGAGCGGGGGAAAACTCTGCACCCATTTGGTGACTAATGAGTTCCGCCGTGTCGATGTCGGGGAAGTCGGGCCGCCTCGTTTGATGGACAGGTGAGCCCAATACATGTGCTGGTGAAATCTGCGGAGGAATTTGAGGCTCCGGTATCGATACCACCGGCCACACAGAAGGCAGTAAGGGGACTTCCCTCCCCGTCTTAGCCGCTTTAACAGGCTTGGTGGTGGCCTTTTTCGCGGGCTTTTGTTTTGAACTTGCCTTGGTTTTGGTCTTAGCCGGTATAGAGGCGGACGATCGAGCCTTCGACGTCGATGGTTTCGATGTCGGGCGGTTGACATCGACGGCTGATTGCGAAGCAGAAGGGGGTTCCTCCATCGTGGAAACCAGAGCAAGGGCCAATTCAAGTACGCATCAGACGTGCCACACGGTTCTTCCTCGTCTGGTTGGAGAATTGAGCGCAGTGCCTATAAGATTCCGGCTTGTGAGATTCCCCAAGGCAAAATATACAAAGTTTGTGGCTGTCAGGAGGAGCCAATTTACTACCACAGCGTCTGCAGCGGTTGAAAAATCCCCACTTCTTCTCCATACAAAGAGAAGTGGGTAAATAAAAAACAGCCAAAAGAGTGAGGGGGGGAGGGTTGGCCCGAAGGCCTGAGGTAAAAAATCCCCTCAGCGGGCTGAGGAAAAAGATGAGTTTTTGTTTTTGTTTTAGCAACGGAAATAGAAGTAAAACGAAGAAAGAAGTAGGGGAGGAGTAACTCCGAAGAGCTGAGAGGCCGAGAGCAACAGCGAGCCGATCAGACAAAAAGAACTCCGAAGAGCTGAGAGGCCGAGAGCAAGAGCAACAGCGAGCTAATCAGACGAAAAGGAAATAGGTCTTTCCAACATGGCGGTAGGAAAAGAACTGGCGGGATGTCCGCGCCCACCCCTCTGGGCATGCGCAGTGGGGTTCCTGCGCTTGCCTGAGGGAATGGGCGCAAAAATCCGTTGAAAAGAGCTTGCTACAGCACCTATCGATCCAGCACAGGCGCACTAGATCCCATTAGTGTGAAGCACAGAGACCACGAAGATGGTCAGTCAAGTTTCATAATCCATCTCAGGGGTGTCCTAGGGTGTGTTCTATTGACACTCTGAGATCTTCTGTCTGTTGTATGCCATCAAGGTGCTTCCAACTTATGGTGACCCTGTGAATTAATGACCTCCAGAGTGTCCTAGTGTTAATAGCCTTGCTCGTGTCTTGCAAACTGAGGGACGTGGCTTCCTTTACAGAGTCAGTCTCATATTGGATCTTCTTTTCTGACTGACTTCAGCTTTTCCTAACATTACTGTCTTTTCCAGCAAGTCTTCTAGGAAGTTATATGTGTGGGGACCATATAGTCCAGTGCTAAGCACAGTTACGCCCTTCTAAATCCAGTAGCTCTGCTTGGAATGCCATCAATAGTAACTCATTGTTCAGGGTTACTCCTGAGATCAGGAATGCAGGTGACCCCGCCACCACTTGAGCTTCCCTGATGTCATTGGTTCTTCTAGCCTTCCATTGGGACTTGCAGATGGAAGGAAAAGAGGCAGCTAGCAGGTAGATCAGCAAGTTGGGTTAAGGCCTCCTGGGTTGTGCCCTCACCTGTTTCCATAAATCGGCCTGTTTTGCACCAATGCACCAAAGTGGCAACACACAGGATTGTTTCTGGTGTATGTTGGGTGGGTGGTATTTCTTCTGTGGTTGCCATTGCCTTTGAGGAATAACAGCAGCGGCGGCCAGTGGAAGACTTGAATAGCAGACACACACACACACACCCCAAGGCTGGTGGTAAGAACTAGACACATTGCCACACCTCCCCTGCCTTCCCCTTTTGCAGGCAGCTCAGGAGGTGGAAGTTGATTCAAACCAAGAGGGATTGTAGCAGTTGGAGAGACTTTGAGAACTAGAAAGTGTCGCCGCTGCTGCTCTACTCTTTTCTCAATATATTTTTGCACATTGACTTTTAATCTATTATTTCCACTGTTAGGTATTCTCTCTTAGATCTCATTATAGGTTTTAAATTCTTGTAAGCCACTTTGGGACTCAATCTTGTCTGAAAAGCAGAGTATAAGCATAAACAAACTAATATATAAATCAAGAGCCCCTGATATTGCCAGGTCACTCACTATTTTTTTCAAGGAGACAGTGAAGGGCCCTGGCTTAGCGGGAGGGGCCCGGCCTTGGCGGGGGGGGGGGGGGGGGGGGGTTTCCCATGCCAAAGGTCCCAAAATCAATCCTGGTATTCCGGATAGGAATTATCTCAAAGAAGGACCTTTCTCAGCCTCAGAGCCCAAAGAGCTGTTGCCAATCAGAGCTGACAATACTGAATTAGTTGGACCAATAGTCTGATTTGATATGAGGCAGGTTCATATGTTCAATTTAACCTGAGACGTGTATATAAATTGGAAGCTACAGAGCTGTTAGTCCCGGATAAATGAGAATGAAATCAGGCTCTTGCTAACGCAAAAAAATGGATCAGTGTCTGGAGATGATGAAAGTCTGGCCATGAGTGAATAAATCAAAACTTAAGTAGACAAGAGAGAAATGCCATGGGTTGGTAATAAGGCTGATGCAAGGATAGGCGTTGGCTGGTTACTGTGGGATGAAGGATTCAAATGGATGGAGCATATTATAGTTATGCAGTTTTGGGGGTGTCCCTTGCTATTAGGGTTGCCAGCTCAAGGTTGGGAAATATCTGGAGATTTTAGGGGTGGAGCTTGGGGAGGGCGGGGTTTGGGGAGGGGAGGGATTTCAGTGGGGTAGAATGCCATAGAATCCACCTTCCAAACCAATTGTTTTCTCTAGGTGAATTGATCTCTGTTGTAATCCCAGAAGATCTCCAGATACCACCTGAAGGTTGGCAAACCTACTTGCTATTCAGGAAGAGACAAGTGTACGAAATGGCTAGAAGTGCCGAGTTCCAGCTTAGGCTGGTTTGCCCCTGTGGCCATTCCGGCAGAAAGTAAAATTTGGCCATAGTCAGACATTGAGGAAAAAAGCCAGAGATCGCTCGCGCAGGCGAAAAATGGCAGGAAAAAGCAGTGAAGTCTGAAATGGCAAACCACTTCAGATCCAGCTGTTTACCGGTAGGGGAAAGCCATGTGTGAAATGGCAGCCCTATACCGGTTTACTCCACGACGGATCAAAAACGGCTTCAAACCGGCTTAAAAAGGGTAATGTGAAATTCCTCATTGTTTAAGAAGAAGAAGAGGAGGAGGAGGAGGAGGAAGAGGAGAGATTGGATTTATACCCCACCCTTCACTTGGAGTCTCAGAGTGGCTTACAAAGGCGTTTGTAAGCCGCTCTGAGACTCCAAGTTAAGGGCGGGGTATAAATCCAATCTCTTCTTCTTCTTCTTCTTCTTCTTTCTCTCCCCACAACAGACATCCTGTGAGGTGGGTGGGGCTGAGAAAACTCTGACACAAATTGCTTTTTCAGGAACAGCTGTGCCAGAGCTTGTGACTGACCCAAGGTCACATCAGCAGGTATAAGTGGAGGAGTGGGGAATCAAACCCGGTTCTCCCAGATTAGAGTCTGCACACTTAACCACTATACCACACTGGCTCTCACTCAAATTGCAATGCATTCTAATGGGACTGCTTTTGATTAGCATTTCTGCTTCCTTGTTTTAATTTCCCTTCCCTTTGGGTATCTCCTTTGAGTACATGAAGGGCTATCTTCTCCTATAGGAACCTGCCCAATCCTTACATTCAGTGGCAGAGGGCCTTTCTGTGGGAACTTGCTTTATCAGAAGTGAGACTGGCAGAGACTCATGGGAGGCCTTTCTCAGATAGTATGCCTAAATTGTGGAACTCCATCCCCCAAGAGTTACCCTGGCCCCAATCTTTGCAGGCCTTCCACAGAGAAATTGGAAGACATTTCTTCCAGGAGACCTTTGAACTGGTAGATTTACTGACTGGCTGTTGAACTGTACCATCTCTTCTTTTAATGGATCCTTCCATTAGTTTGTAAAGATGTTCTAAATAATTCAAAAGCAGTTATTGTTCTTGTTGAGGGACCATGGGGCCCTTTCATGGACTGAAAGTCCACGTTAAAAAATCTACTAAATAAGTAAACATTTACTGAATAAATAAAAGAGACTTCTAAAATATAGCTATCCACTATACGGAGGTAAGAAAAGACAGCCCCTACACAAAAGACTCACCATTTAAAGGTCAAGAGAAACTCAAAGGAAAGGGAAATTAAAACAAGGAATCAGAAATGGCAGCCAAGTTAGGAAAAGTGGGAGATAAAAAGATTTAAGAATGTTTTCTGAAAGCAGGTAAGAAGAGCCAATAAATTCTCAGTGGAAAGAGCTTCCCTGTGGCTGGGAGCAGCAGAACAACAGAAATTGCATGAATCTACAGAGAGATGATGCAGTTAGCAGGGGAGATTAACGCTCATCTAGAATGAAGAGCGAGAGAGCCAGTGACGTTGTTGAAAAGAGGGGATTATGGGCAGCATGATGGGCAAAGCTGAGCAGAACAGAAAACAGAAATCAGAAACCACAGTAGGGACCCATGAGACTCATGGGAGGTGGATGAAATCGCATCCTTCTGCTGGCTAGCTGGAGCCCCCACTCAGCAGCTCCCGTTCCTCCTCTTCCCTCCACTCCGTTTAATTTTTTTTAAATTTTTATTTTAAAAAATCACATCACATATATTAAAACTATAAATGAAGCATATAAGGCCATGAGGTTAAAATGGATAAGCCCTGATTGACCATCAAAACAAGAGGCTCTTATATTCATATCAAATCCACGTAATTCTCATCATTTGGTAAAATGTCATTTCCCATCAAATAATGAATAACAGGAGACCACGATTCAGTGTATGCTAGTTTCTGTCGATCTGATCTATTCAGTTGTGAATTATTAATAAGTTTACCTAAAATGTAAAAGTCCCACAACTTTCGGAGCCATTGATCTATCGTCAGCATTTTCTGGTCTTTCCATTTTGAGGCTAACATTTTGAGGCTGCCGAAATTAGAGTTGAGGTCAATTGGTCGTGTTTCAGTTTCCCAATAATCTGATAGCAAAACCTCTGGCAGAAGCGGGAGATCCATCCCTGTGATATTCTTGATGTGTAAGAGAATACCTCTCCAGAAGTCTTGTACCTGTTCACAAGTCCACCAACAGTGGAGACTCCTCCTTCCACTCCTGAACTGCTTCCACTGCAGCTCACATGGTGGCAGCACCACCCGCTCCTCAGTCTGCATGCTTTGCTGCCCCTCCGTGGCTCACATAGTGACCGGGGGGGGGGGCAATAGAGCCTCCCACTTGCCCTCCTGCTGCTGCCAGCATTGCCAGTCCTCTGCAGTTCACACAGTGATGGTGGGGGCAGCCACAACGCCTCCT